TTGCCCCCCAGGCCGGAGTCCTCCGGTTGCCTAGCAAGCAGCGTGGGGTCCCAAGGCCCTTTGGCCCCGCCCCCGACTAACCTAAGCCCCACCGGACTTGGAGAATTCAGCCAATGAGAAGAGAGCCCTGGGAAGGGTGGTGCCAGGAGAGCCGGGTTAGGGCGGGAAAGGGAGCCGGTCAGTCCGGCGGCCAAGCCAGGTTCGGAGCACCGCGAACCCTGAAGACACGCTGTCCCCAGCCTCGCGGCTGGGCTGAAAAGCGTCTGCGCTTCCACCCCGGGCCCTTCACCCTTAGAGCTGGGACTGGCTGTGTATGGGCGACAGGTGAAAATACGTTGCAAGGTGTGTCCCGACCATACAGTGAATGTTTAAATTTAAACAATGTTACAATAAAAGACACATTGCCGTGCTTCCGACACACTTATTCCATCGTTTCGCCACTCTGAAGCAGTTCTGGAGGCTGAGGCAGGAGGGTCCCAAGTTTAGGCCTCGTCTGGACAAATCAACGGTTTATCGAGACCTTATCTCAAAATAAAAAAATTTTAAACAGGGCTGGGGATGTAGCTCAGTGTAGCTGGGCCTAGCCTGGGAGCCGGCGCTGTGAAAGGGACACACACACTTTTCGGTATTCGTTATGGGGTGGGGCGACTGCGCAACGGCCCGACCGGTCCTAGCTTAGGGTGCGGGGTCAGCAGTGTGGTTTGGAATCAGCGGTTCCGGTAAGTTGAGTCAGGGAAACGGACACATTCCTAAGGGGAAATGTCACGGGCGGGCGGCATGGGCGCCCGGCTCAGCGAAGGAAGCGGCAGTTGCTGGGAGCTGCCCTTGCACAGGACAGGACCGGGTCGCCTGGGGTGACGGCAGGTACACGCTGCCTAAAAGCTGAGCTTCTGAAGGGCGTCACCACATCCACCGTGCTGGAAGGCCCAAGGGAGCTGCGCCGCTTCATTTTTATTTTTTCTTTTTTTTCTTTTCCCGGTACCGGGGGTCGAACCCTGGACCTTGCGCTTGCGAGGCAGACGCGGTGCTTTCCTCTCGTGAAGTGGAGACTGAAGAGCAGCCAGACGAGGCCGCCGCGCCCGCGCCCACGCCAGAGCCGCTGCGGGAAAGCGCTGAGCTCACCGAGGAGTGCGGACCGAAGCGGGCCCCACGCCCGGAACCCTGGGAACACGCGTGGTTTGCACCCCGCCCGCTTTTAGGGGGTCATTTCTTCCACCAAGCACAGATTCCCCGTTGGACCCCAGAGCTGATTTCTCCCAACTGTTGCCCGTCCTGCTCAGATTTTAGGCCAGCGGGAGTGCCCGGGCCCGAGGCTGCCCAGCTGCCTGTGTGGCGCAGACCCTGAGGTCTGTCCTCCAGGGAGACCTTGGGCCACAGGCAGCAGGGCCGGCTGTTGTGGCTGAGGTCGCCCTCGGGGTGGACTAGCCCTCTGCCGTCCACTGGGGGCCCCGGGGTTGGCCAGGGTTCTGGCAGACTGGCTGTGGTTGATACCGGGGATTATAACACAACTCCCGACCTGCTGGAGTCAGGTACGCCGAGTCTGTTCCCCACAAGGGAAGAATGGATTCCAGTAAGTGTACCTTCAAAATATATCTATAGCACTGAATTTATTTTCAGGCTTTATACTTTATCTTGGAATATTTTAATTAATATAGCACAATACCTCATTTTTCTTTTGCCTGCTGGTATAAAATCAAGCTGTAGTCAAATGACAGCTTTTTAAATGGGGGGATTACAAAGCAAAAGCCTAATTATTTTAGGTGAGATTATCAGTCAGTGTGGCCCATCAACTCTGGGTCTGATTTTATCAGGTAGAGAACAGCCAATGACATGTAGCATTTGTTGTCACCAGGACCTCACGCGGTGAAGAGAGGAGCGTGGGCATTGCTCCCTTGCTGTGTCTTTTGAGGACTGAGCATGGGCATCTGTGCCCATCTCTGACCCCAGGGAAGGTGACTGCATTTGCATATGTGTAGTTTCCAACATTTTGGCACACACAAGCCTGAAGAGTTGTTAAAAGACAAGAAGCCCCAGCATTTGCAGAGGAAAGCTGCTATTTTCTTATTCACGTATTTGTTTGAGTACTTTTGAGAAGCAAGTCATGAATTACCAAGCATTATAAAAAATGATGGATACACAGAAGAAATCATGTTTACATAAATAAAGGAAATGAAAAAAGTGATGGTTACAGCTGGCTGGTGCTAGGTGCACCCCTGTAATCCCAACTACACGGGAGGCTGAGGCAGGAGGGTCACAAATTTAAGGTCAGTCTGGGCAAATTAGTGAATCCCTATCTCAAAAAATCAAAAGGGCTGAAGATGTGGCTCAATGGTATAGTGCTGGCTTAGCAAGCACAAAGCCCTGGCTTCAGTCTCCTGCAACACACGCGTACGGGCACGCACACGCGCGCGCGCGCACACACACACACACACACACACACAAGGATAAACAGACTTTTTACATTTGAACTGTCTGAATCATATATTTTGAAAATTATCCATCAAAAACTTATAATTCTCATACAAATTTTAGTTTTATAATTCTTTTGATATTGTGTGGTTAAGGCTAAAGTCTAAATAATATAACTAATTTTTAGTGTTAAGATATTTGAGCCAGGGATTTAGCTTAGTGTTGCCCCCACATGCCTTGCAAGTGCAAGGTCCTGCGTTTGATCCCCAGTATCCCCCTGCAAAAAAAGATATTTGGTAACCACGTGCCACCAAAGGCCACCATCAGAAATGTGGACATTTCAGAGGGGGTGCAACAGGACCCCGGGGAGTGCGCTGTCCAGGCACTGGAACAGAAGAGGACATGTGGCCAACGCCGAGAGGGAGTTTGGCGAGTACAAGCCTGCCTGGCATTGCATCTTGGGAAGAAGTCAGGGTACAGTGGTGAAGATGATGGAGGAATGTCTACAGATACAGACGAACTGTGTGGTGGATTTATGGAAAGGCTAGAGCTGTGTACTTGTGGGTACTCACGCTGAATTTGGGAACAGTGATGTCCCACGCAAGGTGGAGGGCGCCCATGGACTGACACAGGCTCAGGCTCTTCCCTGGGTCCTGGGAGCTCTCAAAGTAAAACAAATTTTTGAGACTCTCATCTACATAACTTTAATTTAAAAGAAAATGAAAACAATTACCAAAAACTATAGCTGGGAGCAAATATAATTGAAAATATATATACACAAATGGCAAATTTCCAATTGTGTCCTGAATTCAGTAATCTTTTGGGGGCCCTGGAAAAGAATATGCACCCAATAATCTTTTCTAACTTTACGATGTCTCCCTTGGAATCACTCTAACTAGTCCCTTCACCTCACTCTCTTCCCTGTCTTCAGATATACACCACAGTTTACAAACCTCCCCTCCAGGTTATATACCCGATACTGCCGCTCAAGTCTCTTTCCCTACCTCAGCCACACTTCTGGTCTTCTCATCCTATTAAGAGTAAGTCTGAGGGTTGGAAAGAGAGAGAGACAGAGATGGACACCAGAGGTAAAGGCCCCAACACTGGGAGGAAAAGCTGTTCGAACTCATGGCTGATGACTTGAGAAAACCCTCTGAGATATCCTGTTTCTTGTTTGGAAGGACTGAGAGGGCCCAGAAGATAACGAAGGGCATGGCTTTCATCTTTAAGATGGGAGTTGTAGGTAGACAGGACTATTTCATAATGAAACCTGATGAGCCTGACTCTTATATCCTGCCACAATATTGATTACTGTGCATTCTGATTAAAAAATGCACCAGCTGGATTTTTAATTATCATCATTTTGGTTTTTGAGACAGGGTCTCCTTGTGTAGTTCAGTCTGGCCCTAAACTCTCTATGTAGCCGAGGCTGGCCTCAAACTCATGGTGATCTTCCTGCCTCAGCCTCCTGTGTGCTGGGATCAGTCTTGCACCACCTAGTGATTTTTAATTATTTGTATCATAACTGTGAACAGCAAGTTGCCTTCACAGTGAATTTTAACTATTTTCTTTCTTTTTCATTTTTTTAAATGGGATCTTTTTATAATATTCAGGCCAATAGTGAATTCCTAAGCTCAAGTGATATATCTGCTTCAGCCTCCCAAGTCCATGAACCATAGGCATGAGCTGGGCCTGAGTCAGCCTAGGATGACTACATTCTTGTTTATTAAGGAAATGGTACGGTGCCTAACTTCAGAACACAGTCACTGTGGAGGGTAACATACCTCAGTGGAACCCAAGTGCCCGCAGGACCTAGACACAGTCACCCCACATAGATGCACTCCATGGCAAATCCGCTAGCTTTTTGAACCTGAAATACCAGTAATAAGACTTCCATGAGTACACAGTGAACACGTGAAGCCTCTGTATGTGATGGCCCATAAGATGTACTTCCATCTTTAGAAGCTTGGAGGTAAGGGGCAATAGTGCATAATTTAAGGATGACTAAATATGAGATGGTTTAAAAATTATTTACTTGACAACTAGCATAAACTACTACCTACATGTTGAAGTAGATAAATATCCGATGTCAAGTGTACAGTTGGTATGGATGTATACCATAAGCATCGAGAATAATTTACAAGGAAATTTAAAAACAGCTGCACCTTATAGCACCAGCTAATTCAAAGAACTGAGGTCACATCAATAGGCATTTTAGAGGAAGGTCGAAGCGTGTGAAAAGCAAAGTCCTTACAAAGTGAGGAGGATGGGAAAGGGTTCGAGGGAACCTAGATCGCTAAACAGAAAGAAGTTTTCCAGACAGGGAAACACAAGAGATAAGAAGCCCTTGACGGGAATGAGCTTTAAAGTAGGTGAGCAGAGCCACGGACAAGAAACAAGACCGAGGAGGACATCTTTGTGTAACTGGTGACACGGAGAAGTTAAAATAGAATATATATCACCTCTGTTCTTGGAAAGCACAGTCTGACTGTGGGATGCATAACTAAGAAATAAAATAGACAGTAAGACAATTAGATAAAGGAAAAGGGACACCTACCAGTAAATGAAACACGCAGTCCCTACTTCCGCAACAGTGGAGGAGGATTACACTAAGTTATTCCCCGTCTCACACCTTAGTGATCCAGCGGGAAGATGACAATGGTGCACGTTGACCAACAGTTTCAAGAGGAGAGCAGAATGAGTACCCTTCTTATACACAAAACTCACTGAAACAGTTATTTTCTATCTCCAAAACTACACTTTAGATATTGACCGAGGCAGACCTGAGGGCTTCTCTGCAGTGTGAGTCCGTTGGCGGTGGTTAAAAGTGGAACGCTGACTAAAGGCTTTCCCGCAGTCAATACACTCATAAGGTTTCTCTCCAGTGTGAACTCTCCGGGGCACGATAAGCTGTGAGCTGTCGCCGAGGCTTTCCCACAATCCTCGCATTTATGGGGTTTCTCCCCAGTATGTGTTCTCCGATGTACCATCAGGCTAGAGCTGGCACTGAAGACCTTCCCACACTCACTGCATTCGTAGGGTTTCTCACCAGTGTGAATTCTCTGGTGTATAACGAGGCGAGAGTTTTGATTAAAGGATTTTCCACATTCATTGCATTTATAGGGTTTTGCACCTGTGTGAAGTCTCCGGCGCCGAACAAGGCACTTACTCAGACCAAATGCCTCACCACACTCACTGCATTCACAAGGTCTTTCTCCAGTGTGAATTCGCTCACGGTCAGTGAGCTGAGGGTTTTGAGTGAAGGCTTTCCCACAGTCACTACATTTGCGTGGTTTTGCCCCAGCGTGGAGGCTCTGGTGTCGAATGAGGCACTTCCTCCGACTGAACGCCTCGCCGCACTCGCCACACTCGCCGGCTTCTCCCCACTGCGGACTCTCCTCCGGGGGCCGAGGGGGCGTGGCCTCCGACGGAACACTTTCCCACGCTCGTCACGCTCACAGCACTTCCGGCCCCTCGGAACGCCTAGATGTTGAGCGGGCCCGGAGGACAGATTGGGGCGCCCCTTCCCACACACCTACTCCTCACACCTGTCTTCTGTGGGACTCTTATCCTCGTCTGTTATTTCCAGGAACTCACTTTCCAATCCACTCCCTCCTTCGTCCAAGGGCCTCCCTCCCAGCTGCTCTAAAGCATCTTCACAGCCATCGCCAGCGTCCGGTCTGGGAGCCACCCCGAGGAGGCCCTCGGATGACCTCTCAGGTGTCTCCGATGGCTTAGAAATGGCCTTTGCAGGGAGCTCTGAATTCTCCATCCTGTTTTCACCTGATGCCAAGAGAAACAAGGAAACAACTTTTACTTGTTTCTTGTCTTGTTGTGGAAATAGCGTAATCAAGAGTCAAATGTATCTGTGAAGAAAAGTCATATTACAGTTAAGGAAATACACTGAGAACGGAGGAGACAGGAAAGAACTTATGTTTTTTCTTTGGGGATACAAAAAGAGTGGAGGGTTGGGGGGAGAGGGAGGACAGATGGACACTGAGCCAGCATAGCCTGCTAGGGTGGTCGGAGAACAAGTGTCAGGTATCGTCCAATGTCTCTCAGAAAAGATGCTGGGAGAGCGAAGGGTGGGCATTACCTCAAATCAAATACAAGGAAGACAGGGGAAAGAAGGGAGTGATTCGATAAAAGATGTCTACGGTAGTATGATCTGAAAAGTGTACCAGAAGAAGAGATCACGTATGACAGGCCCATGACAACATGTGGATGTGGGATTACAAATGCTGGAAGGCACAGAAGAGTTAAAAAATGGGGATGCCATAGGACTTCAGATCACTGGACTGGTAGGAAACAGTTTTGTACTCCTATTAAAACTAAGAGATATCAATTATTTAAAAGTTGAACTAAAATATGCCTTTGGGGCCTTGATTCTCTACAATAAGGAAACCAATGAGTTGAATACCTGGAATTCTGCATACAAAATTTTGCAAAACGCCTACTAGTGCCAGGCATGGTGGCACACGCCTGTAATCCCAGCACTCGGGAGGCTGAGGCAGGAGGATCGCTGTGAGTTCGAGACCAGCCTGGGCTACGTAGTGCGTTCCAGGTCAGTCTCAACTACATAGTGAGACCCTGTCTCAAAAAGCCAAAAAAAAAACCAAAAAAAAAAAACCAAAACAAAACAAAACAAAAACCCACCAAACAAAAACCAAACAAACAAAATGCCCATTAGTCATGGATATCACTAACCACCCAAATATTGGTTCCTTTCAAGCATTTCTTAACCAGGGCTAGGCCGTTCCACCACTTAGCATATGGAAAGTCAGATGTTTGGGTCAATGCTTCTCTGTACTGTCCTGAGCTTGTCAATCACAGCACCTACCCTGTAACAGACTTGCCAGAGAAAGAAACTCACACAACCACGCTTTGTGTCAAATGATGCTAAGCACCCTGTGAGGAGCCACTGGTAAGACTGGACTAGAGTGAGGCCCCAGGTCCACTGTGGCTTCCCTGTAGGTTCTCATTGCCTCTGCTGTGCCCTGGGCCAGAGAACGTCAGAACACAGGATGTTTAGTGACTGTACCAACCAGAATCCCTCTCTATACAAATTCTGCCCCCAAAACAGACCAAGATTAAGACAGTTACAAGTCAAACACGTGGGTGAGATGATGCATGGAACCAAGTCAAGCCATTAGGAGCCACAGCAAGTATTAAGTGTGAGCTGAGGACAGAGCTGAGGAGAGATGGTGGGGACAGAGTTTCAGTGGGAAGAAACGTGTAGCAGTGGGAGACACAAAGAGACACACAGGGCTGCTGCAGTGCTGTCACAGGGACACTGGCTAACATGCATCAGCTCGACTGCTGAGGCTACGGCTCACTCTCCACAAGGCCCTGTTTCCCCATCTGGTCCAGATGAGCAGTTTCTTTTGGCCTTAAAACAAAGAGCTTGTTGGGCTGGGGATTTAGTTCAGTGGTGCCTCTGCCTGCCTGGCAAGTGCAAGGTCCTGAGTTCGATTCCTGGTACCAAAAACAAAAAAACTCAAAGAGCTCCTTGCTTTCCAAAACCTGTGACTCCCTATTCCTAACACCTGTATATCCATTAACCACAAAGCAGAAAAGAGTACTGATCACTGTCAAAGCTAGTCTTGGGTGCAGGTGGGCTCATTTTAGTATTCTATGCATGGAAGTATTCAAAATGAAAAATTTATAAAATAAATACAACCCAAAAATGTACAGAATGCAGACTCGAAGTTACTGGGGAACAGCAATGACCAGGTGAGGCCTGGCTGTGGTAATCTCCCAGCAGCGTTTGGGGCAGGGCTGTCTGCCTGAGGGCTGGCCCTTTGCACCTCTGCCTACTGTGCACAGGTGAATCCCCACCCACTGGCTGCAGTTTCTGAAGTGGCAGCGTCTATGGGGTAGGAACAGACCCAACCTGCAGGGAAGCAATGAGGGGCTCCGAGGGAATCGAGGACAGTCTCCAGGTGGGCAAAGGGGTAATGCAGAGGAGCTGGTTGACACACTGAAAAGGACAGGTCCAGGGCTAGCCAGAGGCCGTCCAGTGGTAATAGGGACTGAGTTCCAAGAGAAGCCCGTGGCAGGAGAGCCCGGGGGCCGCTCCAGTGTGTGGGGTGGCGGATGGGTGCTCCGGCATTCTCAAACTACAGACAAAGGACCTGGCAGAAAACACCAAGAGCCACGCTCACCCGAGACTCGACCATCTGAGCACAGTGGCCACCGCTTCCCACCGGGGAAGGGCAGGACCCAAGGATGCAAGTTGAGCCGAGGGAGGAAGGAAGCCCTGAGTGGGCCAAGCCCTGCCATCAGCTCCCATGACATCCGTATTCCCGCGGAGAGGCCCCAAAGCAGACCAGCAGCCCCCACACACCGACTCAGTCCTCTTCTTGAGGCTCCCTTATGCCAGGAAATGCTCCCTGGAGGGTGCAGTACAAGGTCCTAGCCAAGCTGGGACTTGAGTGCCCACCACTGTCTTCAACCTCCCTGAAGGAAGCTACGCCCTGACCATGTCCTCTGCCCTGGCTGCCCTAGCACCAGCCACGCCTCATTTCGCCTCCCATCTGTCTCTCTCGCCCTGCTGTCTCCTGCGCCTGCCCTTTCATCACAGACGCTCCTGGAAGCCCAGCCGGAGCTCCTTCTCTGTCAGCAATGTCACCAACGCTCATGGCTTCCTCCTGCTCTCCTCGCTCTCCCTTCCCTTCCAGACCCCTATGACACGGCCACAGATTGGACATTTCACGCAGCTGTCCAACACCACCTAGTCACTTCCTAAAACGCATGTTCTTACCACCTTTTCCTCCTGGTTTCCCACTTTCAGTCAACGCTTCTAGCACTGACCGAGATCCTTTTGTTCCCTGGCCCTCACGGACGCCTTCATCCTGCTGTGTCTCCCACGGACCCCACTCTCTCACACCCTTCCCCGTTCAGGCCATCACTGTCTGCTCCACGACACCTACCTTCTACTGTGGCTCCCCGCTGGGAAGCCCACAGTGCTCACCTGTGCCAGCTGTCGTCCTGAGGTGCCATTTCTAACACCCCAAGTCTTCCAGGCCTCGACTCAAAGGCCCTGTACAAGCAGGACCGTAGTTTCCAAAACAGCTCTCCTTTCCTCAACCTCAACAGGGCCCAAGGAACCCCTAGGTTATGAGTCTTTGCTTATATCCCTACTTACTATCACTCTTCTTGTCCTTCATCTCACACCTTCAAAATTCTGCCCTACTCTTCACTGTGAAATCTACCGCTATTTACTCCGCGAAGCACCCTACGCCTGCTCCATCTCACGCTACAGGTGTCCTGTACTTGATGCCTGTGTTACCTGTACGACAGATTCGCCCGTGGACTCTGTCTTTTCCCCAGCAGTGTCTTCCCTGTGACATGTGCTTGACAAAGCTCATTAAATACATGCCTGACTAGAAAACAACCAAAAGGAACAAACGAGGTCACTGAGGAATGAGGGATTTCCATGGGTGTGAGATGGACAGTGGAAGGGGACTCCAGAGGACACGGCAAGTGTGACATGAGCCAGAGCTGGGCTGACGAGTACCGAAGTGCCTGCTGGGGAGGTGCTGTGCCCCTCCGTCACGAAGAGGCTCCAGGTGGGCTCCAGGGCCGAGCCGCCAACGAGGGGTGGGGTAGGGGATTCCTCTGCTGCATCCAGGGCTGTTGTCTCCTCCAAACGTACTTCCTGTTTCTGTGCTGAGGCTGAAACCTAGACATAAGGAGAGATGACTGGGTTCAAAAGAGCATCCTTGAAGGTATGGAACTGCAAACCTCCAAGAAGCCCCTGTCTGGGAAGAAATATGGAGAAAAAAACCATGTCCGTCTGTCGGCACCAGTAATGTCGACTCAGAGTCTTGGGATTCTGTGGTTCCCAAGTCTCCCAGAGGCAGCCTGTGATCCTGCTCACCCTCCCTCGGTTGATCCTCTTGGTAGGAGCTTGAGGATCAGATTCTGTAACCATTTCCACTCTGTTTCAGCAATTTGGACACAAATCTACATATGAAAAGCCATCTAGAAATGAGAGTCAGTGTAATAATTTAATACATTCTCTAGGGCCTTAGCCTACCTAAGGGAGTAATCAGAAGTACAGAGGAAGGAAAAACACAATAGGTGTGTATGTTTGTATGCACACAAAGAATGCTGCTGAAACTGGCAGCTAAAGCAATACCCCAGAACTGGGGCTGAGCAACCTTGTGGGAACTTTTCCATGTTCTCTCAAAATAAGTGTCTTCTCCTCAGAGCTTGCCCTCATCACAGTGACAAAGCCAGGATAGTCATTTTCTTTTAATTTACTCAACTATATTTTCACTATATATAC